GGGCGGCACAGTTTTGCACAATCTCTAAGTTAGTAATTAATTAATCTTGGTGAGGGGACCAAATAGGCTGTGTTCCAATTCTTATAGACAGCACATAGACAGTCTACGTAGACTGCTTAGAAGACAGCACCGAGCCAACGCTGTCCGAAAATCGGAACACTTCTTCGGACGATTTTCTTCGGAAAATCGGACGGCTTTTACGCGACGATGCGCCACCTCGCCTCAAGAAAAAAAGCCAAAATAAACAAACGTAACAGTTGTATTTTCTGGCTTATTTCGTATTGTAATCTAAAAGGAAAAAAAATATTAGACGTTACTCACATTGAGCTACTGGAGAAGCATCTACCTGTGTGCAAAAGACTATTCCGGCGAGATCCGATCTATCTGAGCGATTCGCTGAGCCGCCATCTTGTTTAGACAGCAAAGTAGCCTGCATCGTATTTGTCTACGATGCGGTCTTCTCTCAGCTGTCTATATTGCCGGCTACGCGAGAATTGAAAGAAGACTTAAGATGGCCGCCGTTCATTTATCTGTCTATTTAGGCGTCTATAATGAGTATTGGAACGCACCCATTGATGACGCGAAAGGCGAATGAACGCCAGCTACGCTAACTTGCGAATGTTAGGTGGTGATTTATGGCGGCGGGTGTACCCAAGCGTTTGTGATGCTTGAGCACAGATGGCAGTAATGTGGGGGCGCCACGAAAGATTGCGAGTTAGGTTTATCTCTACATACTTGAATGACTGAACACGAGATATGGTAGAGTTGTCAATAACGTAGGAGAAGTCTGGGTTCGATTGTGTGCGAGTGAGCGAAATGAGTACATTTTCCAGAGTTCAATACCATCAACTATTTTTCACACCAGATATTTATATGGTTATTGTCATTTTGCAGGATGTTGTGATCGTCAGGAGATGTTATCGTTCTATTAATGGTAAAGCCATCAGGTAATAGCATTATGCTTGAGGAAATATTATTGGGCAGGTCAATAATGCAAATAAGGCAGAGTAAAGGGTGGATTCTGGATGTTACGTCACGTTACATAATGGATGCTACATTATTATTATTATTATTATTATTATTATTATTATTATTATTATTATTATTATACACCTTTTTTAATACAGATGAAAACTCACAGAAAAAGTACGATTTACGCAAGGAGCGAGAGAGAGCTTATTAAGAATGGCTAAAGCCACACTATACTATTGTCCAGCACAAGCCTATGGTGTCGTTAACAATGCATAAATGTGTGATTTTGTGTTCGCACGAAACCGTACGTCAGAGCGAATTCACTATATAATGTTAGAAAGGTTGGCCGGGCAGAAGGAAACGGCACTCGCGAAAAGAAATTGTTGAGGATTCAGGCGCTGATGTTCTGCGCCTATTACGAACAGAGAGGCAGAAAAGTGCAGCATCCGCGAAAAAGCACGCGTTGGACGAGCTGGTATACCTCCACGAGACAATGAAACATAACCTTAACCTACATCTTTATTCCACGCAGCTGACCATTTTCAAAAAGAATAAGAGTCAAAGAGTGGGCGCGTGACCAGGTAAGATGTGCCGCAACACTTTCCCCTTCTCGTTTATAGCAGACCGAAAGACGTATCGGCATATAGTAAGACGTATTCGTACCTCGACGGCTGTGGCTCATAACTGTGATTCGGGGCAAGACGATTTTCACCACAGGCGGCGAACCGTCATTCGCCACACAAGAAACCAGTCAACCGGCTGCCCCGGCCTGCATTCACGCCCGTATACGCCTATATATATATACGCGGGCTCACTAGGCAATACCTCTTTTCATAAAAACATGCAGCGCTGTGCAAGAAACGGGTAGCTATAATGTTTGGTTTCGTAATATATTTGAATAAATGACCAGCACTGCTAATCTACATTGTGGTCGCGATAGCGACCTACTTATGTACTAACTTGTGTATGTGCCTAATTATGTACCAAATGCGATTGTGTGTGTGTGCCTCCCTTGTTTCTTGTCTCTTTTTTGTAGTTTTTATAGTTACGAATTACAAACTCCTCCCTGCATTCAGTCTTCTTAAGTATTAACTGGTCATCGATAAATCATTCTTTCAAGCAGCCCCGCCGCGGTGGTCTAGTGGCTAAGGTACTCGGCTGCTGACCCGCAGGGCGCGGGTTCGAATCCCGGCTGCGGCGGCTGCATTTCCGATGGAGGCGAAAACGTTGTAGGCCCGTGTGCTCAGATTTGGGTGCACGTTAAAGAACCCCAGGTGGTCAAAATTTCCGGAGCCCTCCGCTACGGCGTCTCTCATAATCATATCGTGGTTTTGGGACGTTAAACCCCACAAATCAATCATTCTTTCAAGCAGGGAGACATCTGCCCATTAATCTGACCCCGGGGTTATCGTAGCATGATGCTCGCAGAGAACTACGTAGATTTAGTAAAAAGTAGCATAAACACAGCACCGGCTGATCCAACTTGATCTTGATTGCCTGCAGGCACACGGTCAGTCTCAAACGCGCCAATAGCACGCAACAGCTCCTCCCGATTTAGCTAACACCTCAAACTGGTGCTTGCGCAGCGCTGCACTGTTCTTCCCGATTTAACGAAAGGCCATGCCCGGCGGATATTCAGAGCACGGGCGAGCCCGTTTCCCATTGTCATACAAAGGCACGCGCGCAAGCTCGTCAACAGCGCGCCGTCGTCGCTTCGAAACGAAAAGGGCAAAAAATAAAGAAAGCAGCTGCAAAGGCAAAGGGGTGTATGCAGCGAACGAGCTCACAGGAACGACGTTGACGACGTGGGGCGTAAACCTCGCCGGGCATTCGGAGCACGTGCCAGGCTTGCTGCGAAGGCTCGACACGACGGCATGCAAGTCGCGAGCTCGCGCCGCCCCGTAGGACGCGCCCAACTCGGGTGCCAAAGCCCTGCCGCCGTCTCGTCAGGCTGCGCGGTGCACACGCATTCGTGAGCTCCGTTCGCTCTTCGATGTCTATCGCCCTGAGCGTACACAGCGAAGCCAGCGCGCACGCAGGGGAGCAAGCTCTTATATATGCATATTGTTATGGGCGAGGGGGAAACATTGCTCCAACTTAGAGCCATGTTTGATGAATGTAGCTTTTACTGCATAGGAAATAAAGAAAGGAGCAGCTACATGTCGAAACCGTCGAAGTCATAAGAAAATGGGCGACGTCGAGAATACGTCACCAGATGTTTAACCATTATCTGGCACGAAGACGTATATACCTAGATTTAGCACGAAGGCGTATATGTCTAGATTTAGTTCGCGCCCGAGATCTGTGAGACGAAACTAAGAATACAAGTCGATGAGCTAGCTTCGACGACTTCGCCTTTCTTTGTTTATACCATTAACCAAATAAATGATTTTCAGCATCTGTGCTTGTGTGTATAACTCGACGACAACCATTTCAATTGAAAAAAATAACGGGGGGAGGGAAAGAGGAGTATATATGTAGGATATCGGGCTTCTGTTCTATAAGTGCGAAGCCTGAGACCTCATCCAGGCCGTTCCGTTTATCAGGCTGGAAGTGGCACCTCAACCTGAAATGGAAATTAAATTAAGTCGTCCAGAGCCTGCGAGACTGCACTGTAGTCCGAGTACGTACAAGCTTAACTATGGGAAGGTCCGCTAGGTCTGAACAGGAGTCATTACCCAACTGGCAGAAAAATTGACCTTCCTGCACAATATCAGCAGTGAATACATACATTCTACCCGACACTTGCAACTAATCGAGTACTTGCTGCAGCTGAGAAGCATCTGATCGCCAAAACGACAATCGAACTTGCGACACAGCAAAAATAGTCAAGAATCACTGGATCAGGTATGATCCACTGACAAATGTACCGGCCAATGTTAAACATGCTACGAGACAAGGAGGATAAAGTAGTGCAGCTCGAGCAGACGCTGCCTCGTTTCGGTTTTTGCGTCCATTCTTCAATGTAGCCAGACGTTATATCGTGTGGGTATGTTCGTCATGTTTACATTCGTTCTCGCGAACCTATTCGAGTGAGGACTCCTTGAATATACTCCACTTGTTAACTGAAACGTCTGTCAACAGGTGGAGTTGTGAGAGTATATATAGGGTGGCTTAACCGTGACACATACCTTGCTGCAAAGCGCAGGCGTTTCGTAGAAAAAATAACACGGAGTATATAAGACTTCCAATTCATAGAAATAGCAGGGAAAAACGATGCATTCTGCAGCATAATGAGAGAGTAAAAATAATCCAAAAGAATTAGCTAGACAGCAAATATACGTTGAAGCTTTTGTACAAGATTTTAAAGCCCAGCCATGATGAAGAACAAAGAACACTTTGTGTTGTATAAATTTATTTCCATCGATCGGCCACTTTTTCCTGCTCCCACACATTCGCCTAGGCTAGGCATTAGAAAAGGGTCGCGAATGCGGTCAAAATAAGGATTATAGCATAACAGTGTACGATTAAGCACATTTTCCAATTTCCATTCTCTAGCGCCGGATGTGACCTTGCCCAAAATTGTTACAGCGTCACCCAAGGCGAGTAATTCAGGACAGGAAGATCTTCCCTCGAGTGACGTCGTAAACAATTTGATTAAGAATGAACCAACCATACTAACGACATCTTTTGATAGCTGTTTGTATCAGAAGCAGCGCTGCACGGATATCGTGAAAATGTGTATTACACAAAACTTGTAGCAGCTATAAAAAGCGGCTATTGATAAACCAAACTTTAGATCAACGAATTCAAGCGACGTCTCTGTGCCATGAAATCTGAATATCTATGAAATGAAACACGCCGACCTCCATAGCATCATGGTCTTTCGCTGGTTGAAATTCATTACGAAGTCCTAACAAAATGTAACCCTTCTTGTAAAGTATTCCTTTACGGGGACAGTATTTTTGTCGGTTGCGGCTGAACAGCGGTGACAAGGCGGTGCGATTATAGTTCTAATCACATTTAATTCGCATGTATGTAGGTTGAAGGCGCTGCAGGAGGAAAGCGACAAAGTAAATAGTTCATACCTTGGCAGGATAATTGTTTAGGCCCGTGGATAAACGTAGGTAGATGGCCGTGATGAGCTCTTGGACTAAGGTAGGCGCCAAGGATGAGTGATCTGCAATATGGCAAGAAAGAAAGACATACCACTTATAGTAACCTTCCACGCGTAACAAGGAAGAAATATAAACAAATACAGAAAGATAATTGCAGAGTCCACCGCAATAAAAAGTAAAAAAAGAAGTTCAATTCACACCACAAACCACGTGACACGAATATGTTTGTTCAGTGTACCGGCCGACACGGCGCCCATAGCTATCGCATATCGCTACTCGAAAACAAGTCCATCATTCAGCGGTGTCACAAAAACACGGTGACTAAAGAGATGCTAAGCTACAAAGTTGTTGGTTATTTGTAAGTAGGAAGCCTCAATATGCATGTCTCCCTTTTTAAGGGTCGTGTCAGCCTTTGACCCACCACTTGCCGCCGACCGCCAAAACACAATGTTGCCAGTCCCTGTTTCCATGGCAACAAGCGCCATGTTGGTTCTCGCGGCCAAGCGTTCTTGCTCCGCCACACTGCACCAGTTGCATGTTGGTGTGGGTGTGCAAGCTGCAGTGTCAGCTGCGTTTGACTACACCGTAGACCTAGCTTCAGCAACGACACCATCCTAGCGCTAAGCGCACCTACATGAACTTTAGATTGTATAAATGCCAGGGTGCTGCGTGCCGCAATGCAAAGCCATCCGGAGACTGTTCCGCGTCCCGACTTGCCCTAGCAGACGGAAACGCTGTCCATACGAACAGCCGAACTGATTGACTGACGGACGCACGGACAGGCGCACAGATGCACGGACGGACGGACTAACGAACCGACGCACGGGCGGGCGGGCGGACGCACGGACAGAACGAGTGAACAGCAAGAACGAGTGAACGAAAGCAAGAACGAGTGAACAGACAGAAGCACGGACGGACGGACGGATGGACGGACGGTCCCACTCATCACCACTCACTCTGTGGATATGCTGTGATTTTTCCTGTTCTACAAAAGGGCGACTAACTTCAGAAAACAACCATCCAGATTTGAGAGCTTGATATTTTCATTATCATCTGGACAGCAGTCAATCATCATCACCTGTTCTGGCTGACAGTAATGATCGTCTTTGAACGTATATATATAAAACCACCACCACGCTCTCGTTGAAACCCACGCTACCTTCAATGTAAATGAGCGACCGCTGAGAACCAACATGGCGGCCCGTGCAGTATGGCGGCCATTTTAGGCTGTTGTGGGCGACCATGATCGAACTTGTCACCACCCTAAAAAACGGTGACGCGCGTACGTGAAGGCTTCCTATTTGTTATAACTTGATTTGTTAGCATTATGCAGCTCCTGCTGCCGGCAGATAAATTCCATGTTTGGAAACAGTGGTAGGCGTTATCGACATACTGAAACACTCGTAGCGATGTAGCGGCACGTACATTCCGCCCAGCACAAAGCTCGCCACCCTCTTGCGTGATCACGTGACACCACCCTCTGTGATCGGCGTCGGGAAGGATCCTCGACGCAACGTTTACCTATAAACGCTGCCTTCGCGTGCTCTGCTCGGAGGCTGCTTTGCAGCTGCTCTACCAGTCATGACGTGATCATAAGGGACGGTCGCGTACTTCGGGCTGGGCGAAGTCTAAGCGCCAAGCCATCGCAACGAGCACCTCAGTGGAACTTGCGACTGTCTCCTAACATGAAATAGGTGTATGTTATGACCTGGGGACTGCCAAGGACTCTGATGCACGGATCCATCGTGAACTTGTTTACAGCGCAACACCAAAAGCACAGGACAGGGAAGGAGCAAAAGAGAAAGAAAAGACGGCGCTCCTTCCCTGTTCTGTTTCTGGTGCCGCACTGTAAACACGTTCACGATGGATCCCAACCAACTGGCCCAACTTACCGTCTTACTGCTCTGATGCACGAACTATGAAAGATATATAAATGAATGAATGAATGAATGAATGAATGAATGAATGAATGAATGAACAAACAGACGTTATTTATAGTCCGGCAGTTCTGGCGAGGTGGGGGAAGAGGGGATTAACCCCTGTCCCTTCCCACTCTCCGTTGATTATGATGGCGGTGCCTCAGGTAAGGTCAGATCAAGGATGAATTTTGTTTTCAGATGCGAGCTCAAGTAACTTCACCAGCCTGAGGCTCACACCAGTGCACCTCCTACTTATCAACTTTGCAGCACAAGCCTTTTCAGAGAGCAAAGTTTTAATTTTACGATACAGAACATCAAGTTCAAAGGTTACAAAACACAACGCGTAAGCCCATGGGGCTATAGGTATAAACTACCCGCACGTGCGTCGTCATGCAGGCGGGCAGGCACACACGAATTGCTGCGACACTTAAGAGAATGCTATACGCCAGGCTAAAATATCAGGGTACGAGAATGCGAAACTCCAAAGGTGCGGTGCAAAGGACAGAGCCCCTCACGAGAGCCTCATGTATTCTTGAAGGACTCTACAATGCGGAGGAAGACACACAGCTTGTTCAGTGCAGGAATAGTAAAGGTATATACAAAAATGCAAAAGAGTGCGACAAAACGTGAAGGCACACGAACGCGTGCGACCGGTTCACTGGACGCAATGTTTTCGTTTGTTGTTGTGGCTTTTTTTTTAATAAGAGAAGGTAAGGTCTCTTTCGGCTCGGATGGAAGCGAGGTTGGGACAGCGTGTGGGAACGCATTCGGGTGAGCCAATTTCTCAGAGTGGCCTCACCGCCTGCGTTGCCGCAGCTGTGATGCACATATGCACACAAAGGCACGCACGGCTGCACTCGACCGCAAGGCAATGAGTGGCGTGGCGGCCTTCGAATAACTACTGGTCCACACGCGCGGAGTGAAAGTGCGCAGCAAAAAGTGTCCTTTAGCAAGCCTCAACATGCTGCTGCTGCTGCTGCTGCTGCTATCCGGACGCAATGACGTCGTCGTTTGAATAACGCACGAGGCATAGTGCGTTCGTCGCGCGGACGCGCGGGCGTGTCCCGAAGCCATTTCGAGTTGTCTCGCCTTCGACTCCATGGCGCACACGTCCAACGCAATCTGGGAGAAGTCCCAAAGACGCGATGGTGGACGTTCTGGACGATAGCGCATAAACCTTGGTCTTGTGGTTAGTCTATAGATATTCGGTGTTTGCTTTGCTGCTATTCGGACGCAATGGCGTCATCGTTTGAATAACGCACGAGGCACAGTGCGTTCGTCGGGTGGACGCGTGGACGTGTCCCTAAGCCACTTCGCGTCGTCTGGCCGTCGACTCCAGGGCGTACACGTCCAACAGCAATCTGGGAGAAGTACTAAAGACGCGATGGGGGACGTTCTGGACGATAGCGCATAAACCTTGGTCTTGTGGTTAGTCTATATAGACACTCGGTGTTTGCTTTAAAAGACGGCTTCTGAAGAAAATTATAAGATAATCTTGCAGAAACAAACCTGAAATTCCAGATATGCCTTTCGCCAGTTCTTTAAGCTGTCTCGTGAATCACGAATAAAAATTAAGTTACCGCTTATTAAGACCCCTTCGGTTTCCGATGAGCAACTTTCTAGGCTTTGATAACTCCGTAACACACTGCAGACCTTTAATGAATAGCTACATTTCTGTTCCACAAGCGCTATAGTAGGGCTGAATTTCATAATGCCGTGACAGGCAAGTGCTAAAAATTTCAAAGTCACGTCACCGTCCTCTTTTTGCCTCAGCACATTCTCGTTTTTCTTGAAATATCTATTTTTTATTCTCCTTACCCCCTTTCCCAGCAAAACGTAGCCAGCAAGTCTGAAAACTGACTAACCACCTTGTCTTTTTGTTTCTCTTTACCTCCTCCTATACTTTACAGACTTTCTTTCTCGCGGCAATCGCAACGACGACTTCGCCAATTAGTGAAAGCAGCATAATGAGCAAATACAATTTAGTGTTTTTCGTTTACCGAACTGAAAGGAAAATATTAAGATTAGTGAAATGATATTTACAGAACGGCTTTGCCAGTACACTTATTTTTGGGACTGATCTTGCCGCTTTCTGTGTAACGACTGAAAAAGTATGATGATCATATGTGGGGTTTAACGTCCCAGAACCACCATATGATTAACGACTGAAAAAGTAATGCCACACTATAGAAGCAGTTCAATTTATATGTGTGTTCACGCTCCACAAAGTTGGTGTATGAAGCTAACTGGTAAAGAAAAAAAAAACATGACAGTCGACACTGATCCAGTTTCATTAAAGAGTCCACAGAGTGAACACCTAAACTCGAACCAATTTCTACATACGGGAAACTGTTCTTGACACGCAGTAGCAGCCGCGTTCAAAACAGCAGCCGCACGTATTCCTCATTTTCTTACAAGATGGTTTCTGCAAGACAGCCATTTCCTTAGTGACGTTCCCTTAATTTCCCAGCAGCATTGCTACAGAGAAGCAATCAACGAACCACATTTCGCTATCCCCACGTGAATGCGGTTACTTCTTGCGAATCGGAAGACAGCCAAGTTGATACTTCGAGTAAAAACAGCAACAAAAGCACACATTATAAGCGTAATTACTATACTGTACGGGCGAATATGTAGCACAGGCACTATTGATTTCATTTGGGTTTTCTTAGTTAATAGAACACACCGAAGCAACACCACTTCGCTAACGACGACCGTTTTCTCGATTCCATTTTTCTCGGCGCAGTGCGTCTGGCGTTCTTTCTATATTGTTTTTTGTTCAACACACATCAAAAGAAAAAAAATAAATGTCAGAACGAAGGCCATTAGTTTGGGCTTCAAAGAACGAGTGCACATGTTTCTTTTTTCCTTTTCTTTTTCAAGACGAAAGAGAGGTCATTAATTCATTTTAGCTGCACTCTGAAAGTGCGCTTCCCACAGCGTGTTCGACCAGGCGCACGCGTACGGAACTCTTCAATTTCTTTCGTAATGATATTAAACGGCAAAGAGCTCTGACAATTAAAGAAAAAAAAAGAACAGTTTTTCCTATTGACACCATTCAATAGAAGTTTCGCAGTATCCTCGATTCACTTTCTTTTTTTTCCTGTCGTTTCACTCTCGCGCATTCTTTGAGTTATAGCCTG